TACTGAAGAATGGATATTTGGCGTTAGTTCGCAAGAGCATGGACGAGGAAGTTAAAACTAGCGAAGGTCCCTCAGATTAAAAAATAAAAATTAATTGGGGAAAGGTGATCGTCGAGCCGAAACAAAATGAAAAGAAGAGACAACGTGCGACTTACTACTGATTACGATCGATGGTGGATTGCGGTATCTGGTAAATCTTCGAAGGCGGCTGGCTCAGATAGGTGGTCCGTCGGCCGAAATCGCGCACAGATTTTATTTGGACTGGATAAAACTTGATATAAAAGAATATAAACGATATAAAAGAATGTTAACTTGGAGAATCGCGGAGAGAACTGTGCTGGTGGAGTCGGGAACTGCCAAAAAGAGACTGAGCCAGTAGGCTTCGGGTTTATATACGATTTTTCGGGGGTGGATCTTGGTCATGGGACGTGGAAGGAGATTTTGGATTTTGGTTTTCCATTGGTGGACTATTGGGAGGTGTCAAGGAGTTGTCTTTCTTATTAGCAACCCGACCATTAAGTCGTTGTCGCCCTTTGATATTTATTTATGGGCATCATTTCCTTCAGCGACTGTCGAAAAAATCCCAAGTTTCACTTTTGGGTCAATTTTAGAAATCTAAACTGCAGTCTGAAAGGGCCTGATCCCATCCTGTTTGTTATCTCTCCCCTTTTTATTATTTCAACGGTTATCGACCAGCAACAATCAGGGCACTCTACGTTTCGAGTTTCGAAAAGTGAAACTCTGGCAATAAATTTTTTGTGGGGAGGGGACTCATGGCTAGTCGATATCCGCTGATTTCTAAAATAGTAGTTTCCAAGGGAAGAAAAAACATGTTTCCTATGGTTTTTGAAAGAGAGAAATCGTGGAGTCCACAGGACGTAACAATAAAATCATCTAAAAATTTCTCTAACGGTACTGGTTTTGACGTGCCACAGAAAATTCCAAAAGCAAATGGTTTAGTTTGTGTGGTATTTTTAACTATTCCTAAAATTGGCCAAAACTGAATGTTTGAACTACGAAATAAAGGTAAACCATCAATATTAAATCCAATTATATGCACCTCAGCTGAGAACATAGTATTTTGTGCCAAAAAATTCTTTAATTCATTTGCTAGGCCAATGTGACAATACTCTCCATTTTCCAATTGTTTACTTTGCATATGTATAGGTGTTCGAAGCAATGTTCTAGAATGAAGAGGCAATTCCGCGAAATGAGGTGAAAGAATATGTAAAAGACTACTAAGTGCAGAATGGGAAATTTTGCGTGTCAACCATGCCTCGGTGGTCGAATTGGTTGAGACGCCCGCCTAGTATGTAGGGAAGTCCAGGTTCAAACCCTGGCTGAGGTAATATTTTTCGCAATAAATTAAAATTGCCAGATACGGTCAATATAAATCTTCGATGTTTCATTATAATATTATGAAAAGTTCTTACACATTTTTTCACTTCTACATTAACTTTACTTTTGTGGATTCTTTTAAAATTATTTATTTTATTGATTTGATGTATAGCCAGAGGAACTCGATACACGAAATACGATCCTGCAGATAAAACGCATGGTTATGTTTCATTCGACATTTATTTTGTCGTCACGGCAACCAAACAACCATATTGTGCCGCCGCATTGTTCAATTTTTTCCTTGAATGAATTGCATCATTTCGGCTTTCGAAAGGACGAAACCTAACGTTATTGTAATCTGAGGTAATCTTTTTCGTATTTGATCTTACCTTATGTTTCATGTTACATTAAGTTATTGAAAATATTTATACAGATAATGTTTATGCGATAACGAACTTGACCGCCGTACGTTATTAGTACGACAGTTCATCACTATCCGGTCTATTCGGTCGTTTTCTACAATCCGTCTAGATTGAAATTATTTATATGTATATTTCATGTTACTTACAGTAGAAATATAGAATATAGTTAGGCCTTTAATAGAAATATTCTAATTACGGATGTGCCGGATAGTGTATTTGCTGGATAACCCGATACTGGATAATTCAACACTTATTGTAACTGGAAAACCGGATAACCGGATATTATCCGGCAATTAACACATACCTACAAATACTTAATATATTTGTCAATACATATATTTATTTAACTCACAAATAGATTTAATATCGCCAATAATTTAAAACCAATGATATGTATTTTTCTAAAAATGACCTACACTGCCCAATACTTTTATTTAAAAAATACACGACGTTTTGGTCACAGATTTGGACCCTTTTCAAGCAATCTGCAAATATACATAACTCCACACTAAATTTATATTTTTTAGTTTCTTTGTGTAATTGCCGGATAATATCCGGTTATCTGGTTCTCCAGTTATAATAAGTGTTGAATTATCTGGTATCCGGTTATCAGGCAAATACACTATCCGGCACATCCGTAATTAGAATATTTCTATTAAAGGCCTAACATTTCTATATTTCTACTGTAAGTAACATGAAATATTAAATAGGAAGGAGAAAATGCCAATGTGAGCCACAAAATGAACGGATCTCAGTTCTCACAATATAATTCTTCAATTTCTATTTAATATATACGTTTCGACCCTTCTTCGGGTCTTCTTCAGTAACTACAAAGAAATGTAAGTATACACAAAATTGTACTCTATATATATATATATATCTATAGCTGGACGCAACGTATTCAAAACATGTACCTCCTAATCGAAAATATAGATCGGCACCGCATCGACGGCAATCCTCTAATTTTGTCAATCGGTAAATCTCTAAATGATGCCTGACATAAAGAGGACTGATTAACTCGACAAGGGATGAGTCCGTGACGGCGCAGTTAGACTGACTGTGACACAGCGTTATCGGAACGAGTCAAAATTTAATAATAAAGAGTGGTAAACATGACCGGATAAAACTTAAGCCAGTGTGTCAACTCAACCGACGTAGACATTCAAGGCGCATAATACAAATTGAAATTCTTACGTATAACAGTTAACAACTTATGGTACTTCGGTGATTGTATCATGTAACTTAAAATAACTAGAGTCTCAACTGCACGAAACGAAACTACACAAGTTCACAATTCTAAAAAAATCCAATGTAAAGGGTTGTCGTCTAGGAAGTTATAAAATGCCAGGAACGATCTGAGAAACCGAATATCTAAATAGAAAGACTATGGTCCAGAATTAAGACAGTAAAATTAAAAAGTAAAATTAAATAAAAAAATAAAAAATTCACGAAAACGGGTAAATAGTCAAAAATTAAAACGGTCATTTTGGTATACTACATTCAGTATTAAAAATAATAACGTCTGTCAAAGATAGTATTGATTGTGTCAAAATTTTTGTCAACGTGGACGGATTACCTTTGACGAAATCATCACAACAACAATTTTGGCCTATCTTAGAATCAATCTTTCCGTACGAAAATGTTTTTATTATTGGAATATATCACGGCAATGAAAAACTGGAAAATGCGAATGATTTTTTGAAAGATTTTGTAAACGAGGCAAAAGAATTATGTGAAAAAGGCATTAATATTGACAATCGAAATATACCATGCAGAATTGAAGCGTTAATTTGTGACACACCTGCCAAAGCATTTGTTCTATGTGTTAAAGGACATTCTGGATATTCCAGTTGTACAAAATGCACAACTGAAGGAGAATACATTGACAGACGAATGTGTTTTCCACAAATTGATGCACCACGTAGATCTGATGACGATTTCATACAGAAAATATACGATACTTACCACAAGCCAAATACAACTTGCAGCCTGTTAAACATACCTTATTTCAAGCCCGTTACAAATGTGCCATTAGATTACATGCATTTGGTATGTTTAGGAATAATGCGAAAGTTATTGAATTTATGGCTTCATGGAGATTTACATTTTCGGTTACAATACAAAGCTGTTGACGAAATTTCTACACGTCTAGTGACGCAATTAAAAAGTTACATACCTATAGAATTTGCCAGAAAGCCTCGAAAACTGGATTGTATCAAATTATGGAAGGCAACGGAATATAGATTAATATTGTTATATACAGGTCCCATGGCGTTCAAAACTATATTAAAAAATAATGTATACATCAATTTTATGACACTGCACGTGATTATGAGAATTTTGTCTTCACAAGAGCTGCATGAACATCTAGCCTATGCGAAAGATCTAATTTACTTTTTTATTAAAACATTTTCAAAAATATATGGCGTTGGAAACATTTCACACAATGTTCATAGTCTTGTTCATCTTGTGGACGATGTTAGAAGATTTGGACCTGTTGACAATTTCAGTGCGTTTAAATTTGAAAATTACATGCAAACACTGAAGAGATATATTAGAAAAGCTGATAAACCGTTGCAACAAGTCGTACGCAGATATATTGAAAACGAAATAAATTCACATTCGTCAATATCAGCTGTTTCATCTAATTTTATTGCAACACATTCAAGTCTTCAGTCACTGCATTATGATGGACCACTTATACCTTATTGCAACAATCCACAATATAAAATTGTGACATACAATGGAATAACATTGAAAGCTGGAATACTTGCGGATAATTGCTGTGGCTTAGACCCGTTGGAGTGGGGGCATGCCCGCCGGCTGGGCGCCCGCGGACGCCCGTTGCCCGTCGGAGTGGGGGCATGCCCGCCAGCTGGGCGTCCGCGGACGCCCGTTGCCCGTTGGAGTGGGGGCATGCCCGCCGGCTGGGCGCCCGCGGACGCCCGTTGCCCGCGGTTTAGACAATTTAATACAAATAAATATTTTATTTTAAATTACAAAAACTTGGCGCTGCTCAACCGAATTTTAATAGGTAATTATAACTATCATGTCTCGTGATATTTTACTAACAAAAATGTTAGCATCTTCCTATGCATCTATGTCGTCTATTGTGCTGTTGTTTGCTAGCAAAGCTTTGATGTCGGAAATGAAACATTTGCATGATCCAAACGATATAGCATATATACTGTTAAAAAATTTATAACAATGTATGCTAACTCTTTATTAACAGTATGTCCGTTCGATGTGTTCTCTCTCCAGCTGTGTACTTAAATGCAATAATATGTAACATTATGCTAGCTATACGATCATGGTCGGGAAGGTTATCCAAAGTTTTACAATAAGTTTTCGGAATACTTGTATTATTGCGTACATATTCGTACAAATTATCATTCCTTTACTCTAATAATGCGTCATCACACCCACACACACACAAACACACACGCGCGCGCGTGAACGCACGTACACGCACACGTACTTGGGTTCATACTTGTAAAGGAGTGGGGCGAAGGAATAGTGGAAGGAGAGAGGGGGCTATTAAAATTCGGTTGAGCAGCGCCAAGTTTTTGTAATTTAAAATAAAATATTTATTTGTATTAAATTGTCTAAACCGCGGGCAACGGGCGTCCGCGGGCGCCCAGCCGGCGGGCATGCCCCCACTCCAACGGGCAACGGGCGTCCGCGGGCGCCCAGCCGGCGGACATGCCCCCACTCCAATCATCGCCCCACCACGTTTAAAACTATTTAGTTTAGTTGGTGCCATTTGATCATTACTTTTGTAGAGAAGATAGTTTTGTAGTGAAGATATTTTTGTAGAGTTTGTCTAAACCGCGGGCAACGGGCGTCCGCGGGCGCCCAGCCGGCGGGCATGCCCCCACTCCAACGGGCAACGGGCGTCCGCGGGCGCCCAGCCGGCGGACATGCCCCCACTCCAATCATCGCCCCACCACGTTTAAAACTATTTAGTTTAGTTGGTGCCATTTGATCATTACTTTTGTAGAGAAGATAGTTTTGTAGTGAAGATATTTTTGTAGAGATTGTCTAAAG